GAGGTATTTTTTCACCCGAGAAACCTACCAATCCCATTCTCTCCATGTTTGGGGCTAGAATTAAATGTGAGCCCCGAATCCATTCACCTATAGGGTTTACATAGGTCTCTGGTTCACTTTAGAGGGCTCATTAACATTGTAGGACAGAGAACAGTTTGAGCGTGGGGAATCTGGTTCAGACAGACAGGCCTTGCCTGGACTCACAGCGTGGGGAATGGGCCTGGTTGACTCCAGATCCTGGAAACCAGGGCCAGGCCTGGGCGGGGAGGCGCCTGGAGGCAGGTGCAGGGCCTGGACTCCCGCTTCCCTCTATGCGGCGCACCTGGTGCTGCCACGAGAGACAGATGCTCCGCTTTGCCTTGTCCAGCAGGTGACACTGTGGGGCCGCCGGTGGCTGGGCCGCAGCCGGGCTCCCTCTTCCCCGAGCACACACCCAAGTTCCAGCCGGAGACCGCAAAGAGCGGCCCCTCAGCCGGGACTTAGGGTTGCCCCCGCAGAAGCCGCGCTGGTGGGGAAGAAGGAAGTGCCAGGTCTCAGGAAGGGGTCCTGATACGGTCGTCTGCACCGAAGCTGATACCAAACACCCGCGTTTCCGTGCCGTCTGCACTCCCCTTGCTCCAGGTGTAGAGTGTAGGGCTGCTGGGGGGCGGGGGGAGGGGCGGGGGAGTCCGCGGGTCAGGTCAGGTGATCACGGGACCTGCCGCTCCTGCTTGCCCTGGCCCCAGCCCAGCCCAGGCTGTGGGGGACATTGCTCGACTGGATGAGCGTCAGGGGGCCAGTCTCTGGGGGTGTCCTGGGAGGCGGGTCTGGCTGACCAGTAAGGTGAGCAGGTGTCACCGGGAAGGGGAGACGAGGGCTGGGGGGCAGGGAGGGACTCCGCCTACTCCTCTCGCTTCTCCTTCCTGCGCACCTGAGCCAATAAATCAGTGATCAAGTCCGCGCCAGCAGGGGGGTTCTGCTCCGGGAGACCACAGGTGACCAGAGGCAGCTGAGGCCAATACGGGCAGTCCCAAACCCGGGTCACACGCTGGTCATTGGCAGGGGCCAAGACCCTAGTGCCGTGTCTGCCCGGCCTTCGCTCGCCCAGAGTCCTGGGCAGCCTCTGGCCGCAGTCCAGCTCGCCCCCACCCCCACGCTGACATCACGGGCACCCAGACCCGGAGGCCCCTGAGGCTCCACCCCGGGAGAAGGCTCTAGAGTGGAGGGCTAGCAGTGCTGGCTGGGCAGCCGCCCTGGGCAGGAGAGAGAGAGAGAGAGAGCGTCCGCAGACAGTCAGGGCACCCGGAAAGGTCTGGAGACTCCCAGCGCAAGCTCGGAGCAGGACAGGACAGGCCGAGTGTCTGTGACCCTGGATTTCCAACCCTCCCGCTGCATTCGGCCTGGTGGGCAGCTGAGAGAGGGCAGCCCCAGGTAAGGATGGGCAGTGTCCTTGGTCTGGTGACTGGCGTTTGAGCAGTCTCCAGACTCGGTGTCCCCTTGGCCTCTTGCTCCTGGGCTTCCTGACACCTGTGCAGAGGCAGGTGAGGGAGCATCCCAGCCACGGCAGCCACTGAATGGAAGTGTGTGGACTCTGGAAAGGTGGAGGTTAGTCACCTACAGCCGAGCTGAAGGGCATAGCCTCTATGCAGCCTGCTCTGGCCAAGATTTGGGGGCGGGGTGGGGGCAGCAAAGGAGCAGGCTTGCTGGGAGCGGCAGAGAGAGCTTGTTCTGCCCTGGCCACTTTGGCTCTTTTGGTCTCCTCTGACACTCCTTCTCAACCTCTCTCCCCCAGTGAATGGCTCCCGCCCCCTTTGTACCCCCCTTTTGTGGAATGGGAATCTGGAACCCCACCACCCAGGGCTGTTGTGAGGGTGGGCCAAAAC